GCTCTTGAAGACTTTATTATTCCTCATTTATTTAAAATTTCTTAGCAAGTACACATTCAAAGTGGTTTAATAGACCAAACTCAAATTGACACTATAAAGAATAAAATAAATTTAATACAAAAATATTTAAAAATTATTAAAAAAAAACAAAACAAAACGTTACAGAATTTTTTAGAACCAGTTAAGATAACTAAAATTGATTATATAAAATCCAAAATAAAACTTTACTCTGAAAGAAGCATATTCCTTAATCGACATTACTTTCAACAAATAAATGAGTAACATGACCTTTCAACTAAATCATAATTAGCTACTTCTAAGTCTTTTTCCTTCACTTACAAACACATACTTTTACCTTGAAAAGAACCCTAAAAGCCTTGTTATCCTTAAACTCAATTCTCTCTTGTTATTGCATTCTTGATTCAGGATCAATAAACTAACTTGTCAACTCACATCAAAATCCTGAAATGATGTCGTAAAAGTGAGAGTTTCGCAAATTCAAACACTTATAAAAATTATGATGAGGGAGTTTTAACCTCAATGTCAATCGTCCATCGCTCAACCAAACACTCCTTATTACGTGGTGGGAAAAAGGATTGTTGAGTTTGGTGTAGTTCACAGTTAGGTTGTTTGAACATCCCTAATGTCAAATAGTGGTTTGAACTAAAATAGTAGTACCCATTAGAGTACTTTTGCCTTGGATTAAGAGAGTTTCTTATTACACCTTATGAGTTTCTTAGACACCGCGCAAATTTCCTATAATGCCCATAGTTTTCAGAGATATATCTCCAAACACACCCTTTTTACACTCAAGGATGACCATTATTGATGGCGTCTCATGCATTTGGATTTGATTAGTTCCAGAGATATATCTCTGGAACAATACCGTAGTTATATTTCTGAAACAAAACCAGAGACAGAATCAACACAAAATGAACTTTCCAAACATAAAATGAGCATTCATAACATAAAATGAGCATTACAATGATGATTTCAACAGAAAATTAAATACTACATTTCAATGTCCCAGTAGACGTTTGCACATCTCCAAGATATCTTTGACCGATCTTCATCGTGTCGCTTCCATCCCAAGCGGAACTTTCTCTTCGAAACCGAAAAATGTTCGCCACATCGTCATAACATCTGCTCAAGTCTTAAGCTCAAATTTGTTGAACAAAATGTTCCCTTCGTTGTCAACAGAGGGTGAATGGTACTCAAGCTTGACAACCATTTGTGTGTCTCCGTGAGATAAGAGATAATGGATTTCGTCTATGATATCATCGAGGGAGGTGAGATCGATGAACTTGAATGTCCTCTCGGGTGTAGAGGCGTCGGAGTAGGAGACACTTGCGACATACCAACAGATGTTTATTTCACACATTTGAGATATTTTAAATTTGTGTGAAGTATAACACAAGAACACCCAAATTTATAGAAGACCTAGTTCAATAAGGACCACTCATTGAATGTCATTCGTACTTCGGATATATATCTCTGGAACGACACCCTATTATCTTGTTCTAGAGATGCATCTCCTGAACTTTCCCTGAACCATTAAAAAATAAAGCAAATAATAGAACCTTTCGGAGATGCATCTCCGAAACTTTTCCTGGTGCATTTTCAAAACAGAATCAAATGACAGAGAGTTAACAAAGAGAAAGTATGCACCAAATATGAACCAAATGTGTATAAACACCAAATATGAATAAAAAGTGAATATGTAACACTTCATTTATAAATTGAGACACAATAATATACAAATATTCGTCGGATTACATAAGAAATCAAAACGAACCGAAATAGGTGTCGCCGGCTAAACCTATAGGTGGTACCCCCTTAGACTTTTGTGCATTCGATTCCTTTTCAATATTGTTCAATCTTTCAAATTATTGCATCCTTTCCATAAAATGATTTGGCCACGTCTCGACATTTGCGGTTGAATGAGTCGTCCATTCCGCTGATGTAAGTGGTCTGGAGCATCTCGGTTTCAAGTAAACTTGAACAAAATGACTTGAATTTGAAAGTAATCCAATACACATAATATGATCATTTGAATTTTGAGGTGATGCGGTGCAGAGTGGAAAAAAAAGGTTTCCAAAAACCCGTAGCGTGTTAGATCAATGCACACCCTATCATATGCACATGCAATTAGGTGACCCATATCAGGGAAGGTCATCCATTTTGGCTCTGGTGCCAGACCGCTCAAGCAAGGTACAAAAGACTTACAAACAACATCAATTTCATCTTTACTTTCGTACAACCGCGTGTACGATTCTTTATACGCCTTCAACTATTTGATAAGTTGATGATAGACAAGCGCATGACTATCTTCTCTTTTACCAAGCAAATCTGAAACTGATCGGTAACCACAATTATCGTCCCCTTCAACATTGACGTTACGATCGATATATTTGTGTATAAAAACCGATAGCTTGTCGATGAATGGAATCTTCGGTGGAAGTGTTGTTTGAGGTGATTTACTAATGCGGGCTCCTTTCATAATACTTTTTGAGATTTGGGAGTCGGTGAGTCGGAAAGAAGTGCGTCAACGTGTTCAAAATATGAAGGAGACCGTGTAGTAGAGTTGTCATTCGGTGTATACTTCAAGTTGGTGATTTCAGGATAGACAATCTTCCTTAATTATTCTTTGATGTGGAGTTTCATGTTGTCATCGGCCATCAAAAATATCTCTTGTATTGCTTCCCATTCAGTCAAAATAGAGATATTTTATTTACCTTCATACATGCATCCATCATCATCAAATCTAAGTCTTTTCCAATGAGAGTAAACCTCGCTCATTCTTATTGGTTCACCAAGTTTAACCTTTTTTGCAATAACACAAGCACATGAGAGACCATATGTTTTCACAATAATGCAATCACACTTTACACTATCAGAGCCTACATTATCAACTCATTTGGCCTCTATAGTTCAACTCCGCCCTAGAAATGTTGTCGACCAAATAAGAATAAATATTGTTGTCTTTAAATCGGTACCAGGACACGTAGTTGTTATCGTCCAACAGTCTTAACAGTTGTTGCATCTCAGTTCTATCTCCCCTAATCGCCTTGTTAGTGAGGTACCGAATGTTATACGCTTGCTGATATATGATATATTGTCGACACTTCTTTTATCCGAGTCATTATCCGGCCTTCCGATAACCACACCAAATCTAAGTTTAAATGCCAACAAATGAATTCATTCGAGCATGTTATCACAGTTTTTAAACTCTTGATTGTTAGTAAAGTCGTCGCTAACATCTACCGCCTTTACAACAATCCCTTGAACATTCAGAGAAGCATCGTTCAAAGAAACTACTTGTTTTGAGATATTATTGTGGTGCACTATATCTATTGAAAATATTTAAAACGTTAAAAATAAGTAATCCACTGTTGCAAAAAATGATGAAAAATAAACACGTAAACATTCCGAAAATATATCTGCAGAAAAGTTCATGTTCAACACATTCCGGAGATATATCTTGAACACTGCGTGAATTTTTTGTAGCAAACTTTCATGATTAATGAGAGCAATGTAGATGAAAATGAACAATCTTTACCTGAAATTCAATATTTTTTTGCTCCCTGTGATATGTTGAACCAAAAAGATGGAGATTTTGCGTGAAAAATGAGATTGAGAATGTAGAATTTTTAGGGGTGAGAGTTTGAGTTGAAAAAGAAGTATGACAACAATGAGGATTAATCATGCAGTTGAAAAATATATCAGATATTTCTATAGATATATCTCTGAAATAATCTGACATGCAAAAGTGACAGAAAAGTTCAAATTACCTCCCACATATTTCCGAGATATATCTCCGTAACATTTACTGAACTGATTAATATTTGTATTTTCTCCAAATCGTTCCGAAGATATATTTCTGAAATAAATCTTTCGTAAATGCATGAAGTGCCATCCAAAATGGCTTTCTTAAATATAGAATAGTTTTCTTAAGTATAAAAAAAATGTGTCCAGAGATATATCTTCAAAAAATAAGACATTATCGAAAATCTTTACAGGGTCTAAGAAATACATGTGGTGCAATAAAAATTCTTTGGAATAAATGCTTTAACTTTTTAATGGACCAACAAACTAGATAAAAGCAAATAGGTAACATTGGGATCTGGTGAAATAGATTAAAGACTATTCACAAGTACGAACATGATTGGAACCTGATATTGTGCTAATCTTACATCACCTACAAGTTCATCAATTTGACTCACCCAAATCTACAATCTACAATTCCACCTAGGAAAATTCTTGGTCCATATTTATAAAACTTAACGAAACATCAAACTGGTGAAACTGTTAAATCATGATTCAACTACTTTAAACCACTCAAACCAATAATACAGCCACAATCAAACCGCTGAAATAATCGAACCATAGTGTAACTTATTCAAGGTTCAAACAATTGAACCCCATCAAATTCAAATTGGTTTTTAATACGTGTTTCTAGAAGCAACTAACAACTTTAATAAATAAACAATGCTTGGGGGAAAATCAGAAAGATAACTCAAAACCTGTTGCTAGGCCACTCATTAAAGAAAATATGTAGGGGTGACAAATCAGGCTCAGTCCACCGTCTGTTTTACCCATATTTTTTCACAGGACGGATCAAAGTTTTAAGCTCTCACTCTCTAGTATTCCTGCGCCCACCCTATTTTTTTACAAACTTTTGCAGATGTAGACACTAACAAGAATTAAGCCAAAATTCACTTATGTACCACTAAATTGGAAGCCATTAAACATAAAAAGTACTTCATTAAAAAACAAAGGCGATTGCAATGCTTAAGTTACACGCCTCACCAAGTTACTCTTGTCTAGTTGAAGTCAAAACCATGCCGGAGATTAAAATTTTTGAAAGGTGGATTCAGAAAACAAATAATGTAAATATGATTAAGGCATTGCTGTAAAATTTTGAAATGGGTAAAAATTCTATCAAAATCATTACTGGATTCCTAAGATTCATGGTCTATTTTGGCAGAAAGATACATCAGTTATTGCTTTCTTCCTCTTCCTTTTTTAACCGGTTGTGCATCCATTTGTTCTTTCCCAGTGACCTCAGACAGATCCACTACAGAATTAGAGGAATAACTTTTGTCATTATCATCAAAAATAAGAGTGAGAAATCAGCAAAATAAAAAAGGCAAAGAACTTAAATGTTTCACTATTTACTATTATTACAGGAAAATCATTTCAAAATCATTTCCCAAACAAAACCTATCACTCTACAAATAAATGCAAAAATGTATGCTGATCAACAAAGCAATACAAATGACATACCTTCTGGTCCCCGAGCCATCAACGTAAAGAATATATTATTAAGTTTTTCCATCTTCTTAATTTCTTGTGCTTGATCTGTCTTATACTTAAGACACTGGTAAAAAACAACAACAGTCAACTTTAGGAACATTTTACTGTCAAAAAATAACTTTAGGAACATTTCTATGTGAGATGTGACTTAGACAGCAGATAGGGATAGGGGAATAATATATTGTTGATATGCTTATTCACAACACTGCATCCAAGGGATTCACACAAGTGACAAGTTATATTCTAAGCAAGATAAATGACTCGGCAGGAAGTCTAGTCATGACAGAATTTATGTCATATAAATATTGTTTGTTGGTGGGGGTAATGGGGTTAACCTAGAACCTAATCCGTCTTCAGTTTATGAAGAATAAACTAACTAATCGCAATACTTTTGTGTCTAATCGCAATACTTTTCTGCTTGTCTTAAATTAATCTCCAATCTTTACCATCTGGAGGAATTGGAGTAGGCTGGGGATGGGGGAGCCTAGAAATTGGAATCCTTATGCACATAAGTCACAAATCATAACTGTTATTGAATAAAATAAATAAAATGCTAACTTGTGCCTTAAAGACACATGTTAAGGAATTCAGAATAAAAATATTCTTTTAATCTCCTTATGGGTGGTGTAGAGGGTGTGGGTGGCTGTCATAGCACTGAAGAATAGGGTGCAATGGAATGAGGTGGCCATGGAAAATGGTTGAAAGATGGTTTAGTTGCTGCCAAATTTGCCTTAACTGACTTAACCAACCCAATAGAGTTAATCAGGTTATAATGTTTGAGCACCGTGATTTCATTATGAGTGTCACCCCTTTAATCGGAAATGAAACAATTGAGGGTCCAAGCACATGGTTAAAACTGTTTTCAAATTGGGCTTGATACACCATGTTTATGCATGTCTAGCACAACTTGAAGAGGTGGCATGGTGATTTTCTTAGGTAAAAGGGGAAAACTGCATTGCAAGTGCATGACTAAAATGCATCCAAGTGGAGAGTTGGTGATTAGAATACGTCCATTAGTACCAGCTGTGTTGCCCCGGAACAGGTACGACATTTTTAGAAAAACTAGGTCGGGCACATAGTACCCGGTACGGGTACGTCATTTTTAGAAAAACAAAGGTGTATGAGCACCTTAATATAACTTAAAATATATATATATATATAATTATAAAAATAACATTTAAGAATTATATTGTTACAAAAATAACATGAAAAAATTATATTGTTCAAATGACAACAAAACATCAAAGTTCAAAAGCAATTTGCTCAAAAAGAATCAAGATCTGTGCAATTACATAAAAAATATCACATTTTAAAAGTGTAAATAATTCGTACTGTCAAAAACTGCAATCAAAAGTTGGATAGCAGCAGCGCAGGGTGACAGGAGTGCAAGACCATATAAAATTGGCTTTTTACTTCTATTTTTATAAATAAATTAAAAAAACCTAAATTTCTCAACTAAAACATCTGATATTAAAAAACCAATAGCATACCAGCTCGCACACCAAACAGGAAAAAAACAGATAAAAACAGTATGGACTCAGTAGTACAATACGTGCACCGGTACTAGGTGCGTACCACGAGCTGATACTTTGCCTAACACTGTACCAGTACTTCACAGGTACCAACAAGGGCCTTGTAAGAAAAAAGGAATGCGGGTGAGGCGTTGGCTGGGTAGTGTTGCGTACCCTAGTCACCACAGCTCACAATATAGAAAAACAGTTCAAAATGCACAAATACTATAATAATAGTGTATTACTTTTGTAAATGAAAGGTAATTGCCTATGCAGCATCAACACCTCGGAAAAAAAAACGTGTCTGTGTCCGTGTCGGCATCGGACACCTGCACAGACACTTGTGATTACGTCTAAATTATTCATTTTTCCAAATTATTACCAGTGTCACCGTGTCAGTGCCGGGGTCGTATTTAGGGTGTGTCCGTGCTTCATAGGTAACTGCAAAAGCATGAATATACTAATGCCCACAAAGCCAAGCTCCTACAGAGGATATGGTATTCTCTGTCCATAACGACACAAATGATCTCCCAAAGATACCTCTTCTCTATCTTTCAGCCCTCTATATAACAAAATTAACCCTTTCCACTTTATCTCTCATGTAACTAACTATCCTTTCTCTAATTTTCCACTTTGGATGACTCCAAATGGGCCTAGGACAATGAGGCTTAGACATGCATACACAGTACCTAACAATACCACCCCGCTTAAAATTTACCTTGTCCTCAAGGCCGAAAAGAATTCACTCTCTAATAGCTACTGCCGAGTCACAATCTATAGTACAGAAAAGAGATTTCAGTTACTAAATGAAATCAGCTTTCCCACCAGTGACTTCCTCCCTTGCTGGTGCCGATAGTACATCAACTCATAATGTTGAATTCTTGTGTGACTTTGGCATGAACAACTCTGAGAGAACCCATACATGAGCAACACAACAAAAATTGCAGCAACAAGGCCAGGGACAAACCGTAAAAGCAATTTAAACTCCATGATTTCAAAATCTGCCAATGACTTATACCAGCAATTTCCAAGGGTGGATTTGGGGTAACACATATTAGTGGTGGATGATAAGGAATCAACTCATAACAAGTTCCTTTCTACAATAGTTGTCGCAGACTAGGTTTCTAACTTAAAATCAATCACATTCATCAGAAAAATAGGCTATATCATAGAATCAGTACCTGTACGTTATCAGTGACCTTGAGTATCAATTTTCCATCACAGTGTCTATACTTCATGACATACCGCGTCTACACTTCAAATTAAACCCCACAAAAATTTAGGGTAAAAAGTAAGCAAATAATTAGGGGTGTGAACATAAGAAAAACGCAATTGAAGTATGATTACAGTGTGTGGTTGTGTTGATTTAGCTTTTCTTCGATATTATCGGCAACGAAATGGTCAAAAAAGAATCGGAAAAGTTGAAGAAGAAAATAGCTTACAGAATCAGGATCGGCGCGGAATAGCTGAATGGATCGTTCCATAAAATCGTCCCACGAAGTAATGTAAACCATGTTCGCTCACTCGCAGAGTTCAGGTTTCGTCAAGCTCGGGATCCGGTGGAGTGAAAGTGAAACCCACCACCGTAGCTGGCGTTTTGTTATGAGGCCTCTCAAAATTTGATTGGAGTGTTAAAGAAAAAATTATATAAAAATAAAAAATTACTTTCACATCTAAAAAATATTAACAAATGGCAATTTACTTCAAACAAGTCTTAAAGGAATTCAAGGGAACATCAAATATCATCTATAATATTATTTAATACTATCAAAATCATAAATTTCAAGTAAGTTTTTTGTGTTTTCGATAAATATTCGAGTTTTAGTGTAAATGAGTAGTAATCAATGATTATGGTTAGAAATGTGTAAGAATCACATGTAACATAGTTTAGACATAGTGTATAACTTGTTTGTTGGCTGGAAATAGCGATCAGAACATTTTTTCTTCAACTTTCATGAGGTACATTCGCCATTGATGTGACCTCTGTGTTGCAGAAAATTCAGGGGATGTATCTCTAAAATTATTCAGTGTTTCATATATTATGGGAAATTTCGAAGATGCATCTCCGGATTTGTTCAACGTTATACTTTTATGGTGTTTCTTGAGATGCATCTCCGGAATTTCTCAAAGTATGTTGTTTTTAAAACTTTCTTACTTGTGTGTGTTGTTTGCGTGCAGTAATGATATGCTTTACTTTATCTTACAAGGATAATGGCTGTCAGAGTTGACAAACTGAGACATAGCAGAGTTGCTCAGCACGCATCCGTTCGGCGGGAGCAGAGTTGCTTAGCACGCATCCGTTCGGCGGAAGCATAGACAACAGGTTTTAGAGGCTCTAGGTACCTCTGGTCAGGCAGAGGCGTCGACTTTCGGGGCGCCTTCTACTCCTAGGGCTCGTGTTTTACCTCAGGTCATTCCACCTTCTTCTTTTTCCCGTAAAAGATGAGATTCACCATCTAACGCGCCACTTTCTCATCCTCCCGCAGACGTCAGGATTCACCAGTGTCACCTCTTAAGGGTGATGTTGTTGTTCCAGACCCACCTTCCACTGCTGATCCAGTGCCAGCTCTGGAGGGTGAGGCTGCTGTGGATGCCGAGCCAGATGGTTGTGGAGTAGGTTCATATGATTTGTCCTTACTTCCTCTGTATCTAGACCATACTGCTAGACATATCTGGGATGAAGAGGTAGCATTCAGTGAGATTTTTGATTTTTTTTTATGTGTTAATTTTAATGGCTGACATTGATTATTTCTAGATAATTTCATGAGTGTGATCCCCAAAATTTTCTTAACCATGGGAGGAAGATTGTTGGCTTGCCTCAGCCGAATGAGGACTGGTTTCAGACAATCTTGTCCTTGTCTGGCCTGAAGGACTTATGCATGACCTATTACACTCTGGTCAACCACAAGATGCTTAATGCATTTGTGGAGAGATGACACTCTGAGACCTCTTTGTTTCATCTCCCGCATGGTGAGATGTATATCACAATTGACGATGTCTCGTGTTTGTTACATCTTCCTATCAGGGGGAGATTCCTCGATCCTGAGAGGATGACCAAAGACGAGGCAGTCAAGATGATGGTAAAACATCTAGGGGATGATTCGGAGAAGGAGATGATAAAGGTGGATAGGACTCGTGCTAGATTTGAGTTCCTGAGGAAGATCTATAATGACGAGATCCTTATGGCACAACAGGCACATGGTGATGATAAGCAGGTGGTCGTACACAGGGCTCGTGCTTTGAGGACATACTTTCTTTTTTTTGTTGGCACTTGCATTTTTATGGACACAAGTGTCACTTATACTGACGTTGCATACCTCTGGTTCTTCTTAGATCTCACTTAGATCCATGAGTATAACTGGGGGGGGGGGGGGGGCTTGCCTGACCTATCTTTATTTGAAGTTGAGATAGGGATATCGGTGGAAGATGAAGCAGGCCACATGCAACATGACACTACTGGTGGTAATATTTCTTGATCCTTGAATGTTCTTTTTGTCATTTCATTTCATATTTGCGAAACCATTGTCGATAATTCTTGATCCTTAAATCTTTTTGTTTTAATTTCATTTCAGGCTTGGATCCTCCAGCACTTCATGCGCATCGCTGGCTGGGCGAGTATGGATAAGTACACTAAGGATATGTCGCGTGTATGTGCTTTTATCCCACTCAGAGGAAATTAGGCGCTCGAGCCTTTCAAAGTCTATCTTGATCGTTTGATTGTTGAGAACATGCATTTCAACAACTACGTGGATCACCGTCAGATGCAGCCATTTGACGAGATAGTGATATACTCTGGATGGTTGGCCTGCGGATCACGTATCATTGCTCCTCATCTGCTCGAGCGCATCATACGGAAGTTCGGGTGCACCTAGACCATCCCCACACACCCTAATGTCCATGCTACTCCCGCCTTGTCTCGTAGACAGATAGACAAGATGTTTTATGATTATGATAGTCATCTGGTACCAAAGGAGGCACGAGCTACCATAGCACCAAATGACTGGAGCTACGTCGAGGGGTACATCACATGGTTCTTCAGAGTGTCACATCCGTACATGGTGCATACTGCTCCAGGAGATCAGCCGAGACCAACTCATCAGGAGATACTAAAGGAGGAGCAGACTCATCAACATCATACTGATGATGTCTTGCCTAGGTGTCACCGTATATTAGAGATTGTGCGGGCATGCATTTATGAGAGTATCTTTCCTGATGGGTATGCTGTCAGGTGAGTCATGGATGTCATCATGGCGGAGGCACATGGGGAAATGTTGTACTGGAGACATCGTCAAAGGACGGAAGGATTGATGGCCGAAGAGATATTATTAGGCACATACAATAGTAGTCTTTTATTATTTTGTTGTAGTACTATACTCTTTACTTTATTTTTACGGTTTTATTACATTTTAGATCTCGATTATACGACATTCTACATATATTGATATATCATTTTCGACACATCCAATATTAGTCTCTTATTATTTTGTACATCTATTTTTTATTCGAGATTGTGCTTCATAGTTCATCTGAAAAAAATACACAACTTATTACAAAAAAAACATTTGTTCTGATACACTTCGGAGATGTATCTCCGGAATATTACCGGAGATGCATCTCCGAAACAATTCAAATGTAAGTGGCTATCAAGTGCCATTTTTTGAATGTTTAAAATTGTTCTGGAGATATATCTCCGGAATAAGTCAACATTTATTTAGAAATAGATGCGTCTAAAGGTGTATCTCCGGAATCAGGGGACATATGTGGAAATTCACATGGTGCATTAGAAACTTCTAGGGTGCAATAAGAAATTCTCTATTTTTATTGGACTCAAAGAAAGGGGAGTTTACGAGGAAAGTCATTAAGAAAGCGAGAGACGAGGCGACTGATGCGCCCAGAGAAGCCACTAGAAGCCTGAATTGGTCCATGAGGCCGCCTAGAATGGGTTTAAAGGTCGCTCGAATGCGACAATACAACCTACCTAATTGGGCTTCCGTTATCTTGATCACTCAAATGGTGATAACATAGACCCACATTGACTAACTAAAGAGAATCAGTCAAGAGGGAGAACCACTTCCTCCATGTTTCTAAGAAGACTTAGTCTTCCCTTGACCGCTTCATTGGTCATGAAGGTGGGGCATAACTGTCCACTTACTTTAAAGCGGATACCCAAGGAAGTATTTATAAATATCTCTTCTTAGAAGGGAGAAAATAGGATCCCTAAGTAATGCACACTTAATTCCACCTAATGTTACTCAGAGAACCATCCGTTTTGAGTAACCCTAACAACATCACTTTAGCTGCCTTCCTGCAACCTAGCTGTGTCGGTCGCCAGCAGGACCTCTCGCCTAACGTGAGTTGGTCCCTTAAACAGCCTCAAAAACCATAGTCTAAGGTTATTCGCCACCGTGAGCTAGGCCTCACCCCTTTTGTATAATATACCTACTAAAGTCTCTAAGTATCTCAACTGTTGCAGGGAACGCGCACACCCAACACACACACACCTTGTACTTTTGTTAACGGTATACTAATGACCTCTGTGAGACCCCGGTAAAACTACAATGAGCCACATCTATCCATACTTCTTTTACCAACTTCCTATAAAGACGTTTAAGCATAACTTTGCATATATATTCATGATACTTTCTGATGACGTACATATTGTACCAGTAAAGCAAAACTTAAATCTTTGCATGACAAATTAGGTTTCAGCAAAAAAGTTAAAGTCCTGCTTACACAATAGCTTTACGTGAACACAAATACGCCAATTAGATTTATGTATCAAGAAGATGTATATGTAACATAAAACTCTTTCTATTATTATTATTATTATTATTATTATTATTATTATTATTATTATTATTATTATTATTATTATTATTATTATTATTATTATTATTATTATTATTATTATTATTATTATTATTATTATTATTATTATTATTATTATTATTATTATTATTATTATTATTATTATTATTATTATTATTATTATTATTATTATTATTATTATTATTATTATTATTATTATTATTATTATTATTATTATTATTATTATTATTATTATTATTATTATTATTATTATTATTATTATTATTATTATTATTATTATTATTATTATTATTATTATTATTATTATTATTATTATTATTATTATTATTATTATTATTATTATTATTATTATTATTATTATTATTATTATTATTATTATTATTATTATTATTATTATTATTATTATTATTATTATTATTATTATTATTATTATTATTATTATTATTATTATTATTATTATTATTATTATTATTATTATTATTATTATTATTATTATTATTATTATTATTATTATTATTATTATTATTATTATTATTATTATTATTATTATTATTATTATTATTATTATTATTATTATTATTATTATTATTATTATTATTATTATTATTATTATTATTATTATTATTATTATTATTATTATTATTATTATTATTATTATTATTATTATTATTATTATTATTATTAT